AAGAGTTGAAATAGTGCTGAACATGGATTTTAAATGAGATTAGACATTTGAATTCAACTTGGGGATCATTTGTATGTTTGCTACTGACTTATTGAATTTCCTTATCATCTCTGTTAACTTAAGGTAACTGTTTCCGTTCAGACTTAAGAACATTTTTTACCTGTCAACATAGAATATAGGTTAAACTCACCTAGGTGCAGTTAGTTAATTGAAAAGTATGATGAAGACACGTCCACTGTGAGTTTAGTCTGTTGAAGCTGATGCCAATGCTGTGACAGATTTGCAACAATAGATTAAAGCTGGATGGATGGATGGAGCTGTTATCATCACCCTCTCTCATTTTCTCTGTCCTCTTAAATGATGATGCTGTCTCCATAGCAGGGCTTTTGATTCACAGGGAATCAGGTCCTGAACTGGCACAGATTTTGGTCCAGAATAGCAAAGCAAACTGAACTCTCAGGAGGAGCAGTCACTAGGGTTATTCCATATAAATTTACCACTACAACTCTGTCAGAGACCAAAGTAACAAGGAAAGTTTTCCCTGGAAAAAGTATAAAATCATACTATCAAACATTTCCTTAAAGAGGGGAAAAGGCTACCATTTGCTGACAATAGAGTTTTTGAAACATGAATTGACATGGCTCTACTGTTACCTAACCTGAAATGACCTATCTGAGGACTAAATGTGTTCTTGTACAAACACGATCTCTGTGTGATATGGAGGACCCTGTAATTTCCTTTTCTGTAATAAAGCAAGGAAAAACGAGATGCACCAAACAACCTACAAAATGCTTTCAGGTCAGCGTGTTTGAGCTTGTGCAGATCTGTGGAGTGCTTGTGATCAGAGCTAAATGGGACCCAAGCATCTGAAATGAGGGCACGTGAAACAAGCATGGCTGTGTTTTCTGGCTTTCTTGCATATGACAGCTTGAACATTATTCCACTGTAATGCCAGGCCTGCTTTGTCAATACAGTGGCAAACAGTGTGAAGGAGGACCATGATGTTCAGTATTTAGAGATTATCACCCAGGCCACAGTTAGGGAGAATGAAACTTGTAGGAAGAAAATTGCCTTTGGGAAACTGTAAATGGTACACAAACACTCAAGACCAAGCCTGAGGGGAAACACCAACCATAGCACTTGAGGTTGCCAATCACACTGATATGACACATCATTACCAACCACTTGCAATGGTTAACCAAAATCCATTTTTTCATCCCAAAATCCATTTTCTCATCATTTTTACTGGCTACTGTCTGCTGAGGGATGGAAAAATGAGCACATCATGACACTGGCTTTGAAAATATCTCTTACAAAAGGATATAATCCATCCTTCTTACAAAGGAATAATCCATCCACAGCTATTGCTCGCTGATAGTTATCGCAGGCTAAAGCTTACAAGTCTTCTGTAGACACATGAAAGACACACTGACACACAAGTCATGGGAAGGTCACAAAAGATTGAACAGCATCCATCATTCAAACCAAGTAGAGAAACAAAGGGATTACTTGTTTTCCTTCTGTCAGTGGTAGACAGCAGCTAGTTCTTTGATCTGTACTCTAAAAGGTGTATCTATAGCCTAAGTATTTTGCTTTTAATGCAGCAAAAATCTTTTAGTGTTTAAGTTCAGCTGAAATTACACTTGAGTGTGTGCTAAGGAGAACTGGGATTGTTGGACCTTTGAAGATAGGTAAGACTGAATTTTTAATTCTCCTAAGTTTTCCTGTTTCCCTAGGGTGTATTCAAGTGAAGCGTGTTTTTAGTGACCTGGTCTGGACGTTACAAAAGAGCAGCTCTGTGTCAGAGGTTGCAGTGTTGGAATAGAGAAAGACCCTGGGTCAAATGCAGATGAAAAGAGGCACCAAACATCATGGGAGTCTCAGTAAGGAGCAGCAGAGTTTATATGATGTGAGGACTGTGAAATACATTGTACTCTTCACATAATTCCTGTGTCCTCCATAAGCTTTAAATGTCTCACAGTAAAGCATGTTCCTTCTGATTTCAGGGACCTCGAGGGAAGATTCACAGTATGCTGGCGACATGCACTGTGGGGAACATCTTCCCTAGAGCTGCCCATAAATCTGAACCTGAGCTTCCCATATGTGGGAATCTGCAGATTTCTGCCTGAGAGGGTCTTGAAACACCTCGAAAGCGTACAAAGGAAAAGACTCAAATGAGGCTCAAATATTAGAGCAAAGATGACTTGGTTTTCATTTATTGCTCATATTTTTCTTCCTGGAGTGGTGAAATACAGTACCTATTATTTCTGGCATCCTTTACATTACACTGAATCCCACCCTTGCTCTTACTGTTAAGTTTTCGGTTACAATTTTACTTGCTAAAGGAGTCTAAGGAAGAATTTTCAGTCTCCAGAACACAGATTTAAACTAGTGCTGTTCCACCAAGTTTAGGCAGAGTAGCCTATCTAAGGATGCTGGTCTCACATCCCAGAATGTGGTTTGAGGGAAAGAATAAGTCAGACAGTATTTAGGGCTCTAAATATCTCTGCGGTGCACTCTGGTACTTACTATTGGACAATTATGGATCCTCTTTTTCAGATACTGGAAGAATGGGGAGGATTGTAAACTGAAAACTGAGGCGCTTAGTGGATGGGAAATCTAATTCAGAACGTTAAAACAAGAGCGTGGCACAGAATATACTGCAACAAATTGATGCCTATCAAATAACCTTGCATCTTTTTTTTGGTGTTGGTGGTCAGTCAGCCTCATCCAACTCTTGTCTCACCCGTTGTTTTCTCTCTCCACTGCAGGGCCACCTCTATTACATCAGTTTAAAATTGTTACAATAAACAGTATACCTGCCTCTGTGTTGTGTCAGAAATAGAGCACTTTTGGAATTTTTTGCTTAATCTAGTATTTGTCAGAACATGTTGACTCATCAGAAGTGAATCTGCAGGAACATATCAGTTTTAGCAGTTTCTTGAGTGGAAGTGCTGGTTGAAAAGAGGCAGACGGTCAGACCACGCTCCCACTCCTCCCGCTGCTGGGACATTCACTTGGCACTGGCCAGGCAGGACAGGAACACTGTTGTTCTCGGTTTGGGTGTGACTTTTGGGTGTTTCACACAAACTTTCAAAGCTCTTGGTTCCATCCCAGCACAGAGCAGGAAAAATTCCATAACAGCAAGGTGTTACAGGGAATGAGAAAATTGTTTCCTGTCCTGTACAATATAGAAGTCAGTACTCTGTGGACTGGGACTATTTTCTAGTCATAGAAATACACCTGCTCTTTTTTCTTTCTTTTTTTTTTTTTTTAATGTTAATCCATGCTAGATTTGTTTCCAGGATTCTGTTATCACTAATTAGTACCAGAAAAATGTTAGTGATTTGAAACAAGATCTTTATTCTCAATACTAAAAATGAGAGTTGTTCTTACCAGCTAATTCTTGTAAATAGCCTGTGTTTCTGATTTTTATCCCCAACTCTCAATCATAATTGTTATCAGTTAACAGTGAGGAAGACCAATTTTTTTTTTCCCAAAACCTCTTATTCTATGTAATTAAGGAGGTAAACCACAGAAGGAATTCAGTGGATGCTGAAATAAAATGTCACAAGAAATGCAGAATTATTGATGAATTATTTTACCTAATCTGGTGAAAACACTGAATTTATAAACAGCTGAAGCAGCTCTGGTCTATAGTCACCTTTTCATTTTGCCTAAAGTCCTAATGAAATAAAAAGCCGGTACAGATTCCTGTTATTAGTTTGTAATTTTCAAGGTCATCTATTTTAAATTCTTTCAGTGGTCACAAGCGTTTCTTGATTAGCAACAATTGCCCAACTATAGTCAAACTAGAAGGATTTTCCCAAAGTATGTGATCATGTTGCTGTTAGAATGCATAATTGTTATCTCCTTGAAGAAGCTGAATTTGGCTTAACAACTGTGTCATGACATTAACAGAAAATGTCTGGTGTCACAGGGCATAGTGTGGATACTGCGCTGAAACGCTCATAACCACAGTTCATTTAATTGATCTTTCCAGAGGGTGAAATATCACACTAGTCATCTGCCTTTGGTTTTTCAAGCCACATCAAACAATTGTATGGAGATGTAAAAAAAAAGAAAGAGAAGCTATAGGTTGTTTGATTTCATCAGTTAATGGCCGTAGGTCACTTGATAGCCCTTTGTTTACAACACACTGGTCGGCTGTATCTTGTAAAGGTTCACCACAGTGACTTACTGCTGTGGTACAGGGCCTAAAATAAAGCCTGCACATGCCAGGCACCACATGATGCATAAAATATTCTAATATGTTACAAAGCCTTGTCAACACCAGGGAGAGTGAGTATTCCAAGAAGTAGAGCTGGCTGAAAAAAAAAATTCTTTTTTCCAAACTGGGCCTTTATGGAAGACAGTGATTTGGGGAGCTGAAGGGAGGGAGAGAGAGAGAGGATTTTCTTCCTTTGGTCTGGTGGAGAGAAGTCTCTTGGTTAATCAAATATGTCAACAGATATTCACTCCAGCTCATATCTTCACATTATTTCGTATCTTTTCTATTTCTTACTTTTGAGCTTAGCTGTGCTAACTTTCTCAGCTCAGCCCCTTGAGAACTTGACAAATGTCTTATATCCACACACTGAAGGGCTCCAATTGCTTTGTGTGCACTTGTGTACTGAGTGTCCTGGGCAGTTGTGCTTTTAGCTGTGTATACACCATCCTGTTTTAAACTGTATCAGTCAGCTGATTTAATGCCAATGTGGAAGTAGTCATCTCTCTTTTTCTGCTTTACAATATGCCAAGGGGTCTCAAGAAATTCATCATGAGAAAACCCTTCTGTGAATTATTCTAAAAGCAGTGAAATGGGTACCCATGAAGAACAGTAATCGTAGCAGTTTCTAGCACAACCCTTATGACACTAAGCAAGATTACAACACATTTTAAACTGAAATACATCAGCTACTACGTGCAGGCTAGAAATGGATTTCTGTTGTTTTAGTATGTGAAATGTAACACTATTTCCTTTAAATATATTTTGACAGATTAAATCTCTGACAATGAAGCCCTTCACTGCATATCCTTCTGGGTTTATCGTATTCCTATTTACCCTGCTGCAGAGGAGCCATGGACAATGCAAAGACGCTGCTAAAAAATCAGAGATGAATTTCAATGTAAAATACGATCTTCCTAACTTCATCGCAGAAACACCAATTCAGAATGTAGTTTTATACAAGCATCATGTTTATATTGGAGCAGTCAACAAGATTTATGTACTCAATGAAACTCTCCAGAACATTTCTGTGTACAAGACCGGGCCTGTTTTGGAGAGCCCCGACTGTGCGCCATGTGAAGACTGCAGAGATAAAGCCAATTTATCTAACAGCGTATGGAAGGATAACGTTAACATGGCACTGCTTTTAGAAACTTATTATGATGATCAGCTCATCAGCTGTGGCAGTGTGTCCGGAGGCATTTGCCACCGTCACATCATTCACCCTGACAACCCTGCTGACATTGAAAGCGAGGTGCACTGCATGTACTCACCCCAGGTGGATGGAGAAGCAGATAATTGTCCCGACTGTGTTGTAAGCACTTTAGGAACCAAAGTTTTGGTGACTGAAAAGGACAGGTTTGTCAACTTCTTTGTTGGAAATACTGTGACATCTACATTTCAACCTCCCCATGTGCTGCATTCTATATCAGTTAGAAGGTTAAAAGAAACACAGGATGGTTTTGAGTTTCTCACAGATCAATCTTATATAGATATCCTTCCTCAGTTCCGTGACTCGTATCCCATTAGGTACATACACGCCTTTGAAAATGATCACTTTGTGTATTTTCTGACTGTACAGAGAGAATCTCTTGACTCACAAGCTTTTCACACTAGAATTATACGCTTCTGCACTTTAGACTCAGAGATGCGTTCTTACATGGAAATGCCTCTTGAGTGCATTTTTACTGAAAAACGAAGAAAGAGGTCCATCCGAAAGGAGGTATTTAACATTTTGCAAGCTGCCTATGTAAGCAAGCCTGGTGCAGCTTTAGCCCACGAAATGGGCCTTGGGTTGAACGATGATATTCTCTATGGTGTTTTTGCACAAAGCAAACCAGACTCTTCCGAACCAACCAAGAGATCTGCTGTCTGCGCTGTCTCTGTGCGAACCATCAATGAGTTCTTCAACAAGATTGTTGACAAGCAGAACATGAAATGTCTCCAGCACTTTTATGGGAAGGAGAGCAAATACTGCTTGAACAGGGTAAGTGATAATTGATTTGCTATATTTTGGGACTTTTGTTCTCTCTTGGCCTCCTCCATTGCCAGGTATTGGTCCTTTCAGTTTCAGTTACAAAATCTAAGTCCCTGATCATTTCAGGTTACTTAGCTTTGCTGATGATTCATCTCTATAAGGATTAGTTTCTGTAAATTGAGTATGAAAATCACTGAGGTCTTTATTGTGCAAAAAATGTAGTAGTGGGACTAGGGGGAAAATCCTTTTTTTTTCCTTTTATTTTAATTTGTAAGGTTTTTTCTTGAGAAACTGATGCACATAAATGGAACATTTAGATGGCTATTTCTTTTCATATTTCAAAAAGGTATTCATAAACATTCATATCCATGTGCACTGAGGAGTCCCTGAGAACATCACTCATATTTAAAACTGTGTTAATGCTGAATCACTGCCCTCCTCAGAAAAAAATGAAAGAGATCATTTGGAACATGCTACGAAGAGCCAGATTGTAATATGGTTGCTCGTGCTTGGTGCAGAAACGATCAGACTGACATCAGTTTTCTTCATGAAAGAGGTGTCTGTGAGAGGTGTATCTGAACGAGGGTACACGTGGTCTCAGGTGGGAGGGTTGCCTTTCTCTACACTGAGTTCAAGTGATTGCTCCTCTCCAAACATCTGAAACTCTGAGCAGAGGAAGCTTAGAAATTATCCCTTTCCCTTCTGGCCAGTGTTTATGCTGGTTTCAGCTATTGTAAAAGAAATACATAATCTGGGAATCAGGTGCTTTTAACAATTACTTTGGAGCATGAAATATTAGAACTTTAAATCACCTGCTTATGCAGCAGGCCCTTAAATATCCTCTGTGGGGAACTTTCTTTTCTCAAATACAAGAAATTGGAGCTCAGAGGTGGCACACTGTCCTCTACCAGAGGGCAGGGCCAGAGTCTCTGTGGTGGGGCTCTGCTCAGCCAAGATGAGGCCCGTGTCAGGACAGAACAGTGGCTCCACCTGCATATGGAGATGGATGGGATCTGTCATGTCCCCTCGTTGGGATAGCTCAGAGTGAGGGTGGGAGCCACAGGCCTTCTTAATCCCAAGAGTGGAGAAGGAGGAGGACCAGAGTCCTCCTCGGCATGGCTGCCCAGCACGGGGCATCAGGATGGGGTGCAGACACATGCCCTGGTTGGAGGTGGGAGTCTCTTTCATCAAAGAGAAGGGATGCTCCTCACTGCCAGGGGTGAGGCAGGGCGGTCTGGGGAAAAGCACCATTACAGAGATGCTGTGGCTTCTCACCAGTAGCAGGAATGTGCTCAGAGGAGAGGTCTGACCCGATCTGAGCGTAACCACAACAGCACTGGCATTCAGGAGACATCTGCTTATGGCAGACTCCAGGCATTCAACACAGATGTAGGCATTGCCAGTAGCTCCAAAAGACATGGCATTTTATTACCTTGTTTTGGGGGGGAACAGGCAATTTCCAGGAACTAAAAACAAGTTAGCTACCATTCAGCATTGTAACTTCTTATCTTTCTTCACTGTGTTATTGCTGTCCTAATTTTTCATTTCAGGTATTAATATCCCTTTTTCTTTCGTATTTCAGTTCATTTATAACAAGGAACGTTTTTCCTCTCTGAAAGTATTTTTTTCTATATTCGCAGGGTATATGATTTGTGAATGACTGTCTTTAAAGCTCGTGGCCTTTAGCTTATCTCATTCTGTACTCGCCTATACATCCATTTCATAAGGTGATCTTTTCATAGAGAAGTATACCATTAAAATATTGACACAATAATTCACCGCTTTTCACATGCTGGGAAGTACTTTCGTGTTTCAAAAGCTGTTCCAGAGTCTGCTGCTGCTTTGCATATCAAAACTGAATGTCTTATACTGCTGACATGTTTATTATAGTTGCCCATTTTCAAGAAATGTCATCAGAGCTCTGATTTCTGCTACATTAAATTGATAAAGGGAAAAAATGTTCCTGTGATTTCTTGTGGTTCTTTTAAATGGCATAAAGACAGTCAGAAATTTTTGTCCTGATTGTTTACTTAACACAGAAATATCAAGACTGTCAAGCTTTGCCATTCCATTTCCTTTCCTTTATTCCTGAGGACTCATTAAGGATCCAATAAAAAGTGTCCTGTGAGGTTTTTCATTTCAACTGGTCAAAAAGATTGGCAAGAATTTGCCAAGCATCCTTTATCCTCCTGTTTTTCTCCGGTGTGTAAAATAGACCTGCAGGGTTGGAATGTGAAGGAAGGGAAGGAGCAGGCAGAAGGAAAGGATATAATTTCTTATGCTTGTCTCAGGAATGTCAAAGCTGATCTTCCATGATCTTGCTGGAGGTTAAATAATAATATAAAAAAGAAGTCTCAAACCCCTCAACTGTTCTTAGGCCCTTCTTTGTACATTGAGGAAACGTAGATGAGGGCATAAACCATTTTTCTCCTTTTTCTAAGTCACCTTCAACTTAGAAGAAAGCTTTTATTATCTGTGAGAGTTTGTCACAGTTTATTTTGGCAAAATTCAAAACTTGCTTTTTGTAATGTAGCCAAGATGACCTTTCTCTTTGATGTTGAAAGAATAACCACAGACCACTGATGCAAGTGAAAGGCATTGACCACTGTGAGATTAAGTCATAGGACAGTGAAAACAGTCCAGCAGTGAATATGGTATACCACTAACTGCGACATTAAAAAGAAAAATGAGCCTTTAGCACCATTTGCAAGGAAGTGCTCTCTGATAATTTACAGTTAGAGTCTGATTGATGAAGGCCATTTCATGTTATCCAAAAAAGTCCCACAAGACAATTGTACATAATTTTGTTGGACTTTGAGTAGTCCATCTTTTTAAGTGGCTGTCCCTCAGGACTGTTTAATCTGAGGCTTCTAAAGGTAGAATTGGACCATAATAAACCTAAATAATACATCCAAAACACTTCCTCAACTTGTTTTTCTTATATTTAAAGGAAAAAAAAAACAACAAAAAAACAACTCATCTTGATGTGGTTGATAATTGGATAGGTTTTAGCCTTGTTTTCTAAAGGAATTAATTTTATGTTGTTGCACTACTGTTAGTTATCCTAACAACCTCAGCAATAAGAAATCGTAAAGATGTGAATTCAAGTGTGAATCCAGAGACAGATCCAATATATGCTCAGGCTGTGGAAACTAGTGAAGTTTAAGGAGCCCCTTTATAAACATCAGAAGGACTTGCAGGGATTAAGGAAGGTATTGCTCACCATGGGAAAAGTCTCCATCCCAGCTTAGTTGGACAGCAAAGTCAACCAAGCACAAGATATAAATCTAGGCACAACTGTGCTTCACTTGCTCCAGTGCTCACAGAAAACTTCATAAAATCAAAATAAAACATTTCCAGTTGTATTTAAGTGTAATACATATGAAGGCAAAACCTGGACTCACTGAAGTTAAGGTTAGGGAAAGTGAATCTGATGAAGCATCTGATTGATGTCAGATGTACTTCAGCAGAGCTGTGACCAGTTAGTACTGCCTAATAATTTCCTTCAGTGAAGAGCTGGCTGACATTTAAATGACAGCAAGGTGGAAACAGAACTGGCTTTGAATCAAAAGAAAAATTGGTAAAGAAGTTTTATTGCTTGAGTCAGGACAAAGAGATCTGAGACGTAGCTGCTTTGGAGGGGTTTGAATCACTGTTCGGGAATCTCCTCACCCACAACAAGGAGAATACTGGGTTTAGTCTTTAGGCAGAATTACTTTGGTCACAGTTAGTCACAGTCAGCCCCAGTGTGGTACTCCTCAGAGCAGAGGTGTGTTTAGATGAGGAGACAAATGCTGTTTACTTCGTTTCCAGACACAGTCCAATAGTGTGCATCTTTATCATAGATTAAATGGGATTTTTCAAGTGAGGAAGATGAGTTGATTTTAGCCTTGACAATCTCAACTATACATTTCAGTTGTCTTTAGTTAGATCATGATCTTACAGGCTTTGTTTGGCCTTTCTACATCTCTTACATGCTAAACAATTTTAAGCCAAATTGTCTTCTGATACCTGACTTCAGTCATTATTGTCTTACATGGGAAAGCAGCCTCTAAAATGAAAGTCCAAATTCAGCTCTGTAGAGATCCTATGGCTTTGTTTCTTCTACAGGTAAGTTCAGGTGAAAGCCTAAACTACTTGAACCTTACAGGAAAAGAGAAACCACAGACAGGCTTTTGCCACCATGTTCCCAGCAAGTGTCATAAAGCACGACAAACAGATCACAACTCCTGTTGAATGAAAGGCATAAACAGCTGGAAGAATGTGAAAGGAAAACAGAAGATCACCAAAACAAAAGATAAAGTGACAGTAAAATAAACACATGATGATGCTTCTTTATTACCATTACACACATGATAGATGAGTAAAATTAGGTTATGCTTATATTGTAATGGAAGAAAATAATTGCTGCCTTCTATCAGGAAACCGCAAAGGCACTTATTGATCTGTCATCCTAAGGTTGTGTCTAGGAATATTTAATAAAATAAACAGAGACAAATAACTCTTTTGAGGCCCTATAACTGTAATATGCCACACCATTTGGCTTAAAATTTTTGGTAGGTTTAAAAATAGCATCAGATCTCTGATTAGAAAGGCTTTATGTGGTTTATTTAGATAACCTCACAGCATAGAGATGTTTTCATATTGTGAGTAGAATGTCACTGAATATTTTCCCTAAAAGTCAGACACCAGAATCCATCGGATTGGTTCAGTCATTTATTCTCTGGAACTGCTGTATCAGATGGCATAGAGCATTCTGCCTGGGCACAAAATCTGTTGCCATCTGTATGCAAGCTCTTCTAAGGGGCTCTAACATCTCAGAAGAATAAATGAGGAGAGACTGAACGATGGGCAGTGTGAACTGACACCCTGTAAAACATGCTTAAACCTGGTAATAAGGTGATAAGCTGCATCTGCATTCCTGTTGTGCACTCACTGTCTGTCTGCCAGAAGTCCTGGCAGTACCCTGAGGTCTCTACTGTGCCTGTACCAGTGGAGTGCAAGGCAGG